TTTTGTTTCCTAATGTTTCGCCAGCATCTGTGACCGGCATCTTCAGAGACGGCCACACAGCCCGGAAGACCCACACCAGCCAAAGCTATATAATCTCTCTTTATTTATTTAACCTATGCACTGAATATATATTGAGGGAAGCTGGATTGGAAGAAGATGAGCATGGTTTCAAAATTAGAGGCAGACACATCAATAACCTGTGCTGTGCTGTGCTGTGCTGTGCTGATAATACTATTCTGACAACTGAAAAAGCAAATGATCTGTAAACTCTAGTGATGAAAGTCAAACAGTACAGTGTAAAAAACAGAATTATGATTAAATATAAAGACCAAATTAATGACACAAGTACAATAATCAGCCTTAAAATGAAGTGGTGGATAGCCACTTACAATTAGGATTGATTATCAACAGTAAAGGAACCAACATTCAAGAAATACGCCACAGACTAGCACTTGATAGGGTAACAAATGGATCCTAGACCAAATCGGTCCAAAGTTTTCACTCAAGGCACAAATGACCAGATTCAAATTATCATATTCTGGACACACTGTGTAAACACTCAGCTCCCTTGAGACGTCTTTAATACTAGGAAAGGTGGAAGGAAAGAAAAAAATAATCAGCAGCAAGGTGGATGGACTCAGTTACTATGATAATGGGTACACCACTGGAAGGCTTGATGGGCCAGGTTGGAGACAGAGCATCCTGCAGAAGGTCTGTGTAGGTGGTTGCTAAGAGTTGACAGGAACTTGATGGCATATAATCAATCAGCGAATCATGCCTGTCTAGTGAAAAATCTTTTTTAAATTACATTTTTATGTTATATATACTTTGGAACAATATTCTGTTCTAAAAATTTCCCCATAGAAGTCATATGTGAAATGATGTAATATATGGGAAAATTGAACAATAAGCTACAGAATTCAATTTTATAAATATCTTCATTTTTTAAAGAGAGAATAGTTATAGTTATTTGTAAAGATAAGCTGTGATATAACAGTTTTGAAGGGCAGTACAGTATATACATTTTTAAAATAAAGAAACAAATTAAGAATACTGGTCCTGTCTAAACTGGGTTTTCTCTAGGGCTGTTAAGTTGCTTCATATAACAGCTGTCTCATAGGCATATCAGATATACTAATAGTGCAGTTCTGATCTTTATGTAGCTGAAATGGCACCATTTATATTCAAAATATTTGGTGGGGGGGGTATTCCAATGTTTGCAAAAGAATTCTCAAAATAAGAATGAGGAAGATTTTAAGAGAGGAAACTAAAAAAAAGTCCTATAAAAATGAGTTCATTAGCTTTAAAAAGATGCATGTCTTAGAGACAATTGAGGAAATAAGAAATGGCATACAATATATCATGAAATAAATCATGGGTTGTCAGCTAAAACCCGAAACAGGATCACCGCGTAATGTGTTGAGGGATCATGCTTTGCACCCAAACTTTGCTGCCGATGCAATATGATTGAAAAGTATTTAAAAGGTGTTTATACTTTGAGTAAGTGAATGGAATATAACTTTTCTTCTATCATATATGCCAGTAATGGTAAAAGAAATTGCAGGCTTTTCCATTTAATTTCCGTTAATTTTTAAAGGTTATCAACTCTGGTTGACCAAGCGTATAGTCATTTACTTTTTATCATGTTTAAAGATAGTTCTTTGAGCTCTCCTTGTGTTACATGATTTATATTGACATCTTTGAATTACAGAAATGGAAAAGGGATTGCAAGAAGGACTCATTGGCTACTTATTCGTTGACCTTTTTTTTAGATTTTTTTAAAAATCCTGCCTTTATTATTTTTATAAGTAACTCAAGGCAGCGAACATACCAAATACTCCTTCCTCTTTCTGTTTTCCCAACAACAACCACCCTGTGAGGTGGGTTGGGCTGAGAAAGCGCGACTGGCCCAAAGTCCCCCAGCCGGCTTTCGTGCCTAAGGCGGGACTAGAGCTCACCGTCTCCTGCTTTCTAGCCTGGCCCCTTAACCACTAGACCAAACTGGCTCTATGAAAAGCGGGGGGGGGGGTATTTTTATGTTCAGTCATATCAATGAAAACTTTATTTTCCTGTCAGGAAGCACATTTTCCCCTTCTCTTCCACTGCTTCCCTGAGTGCTTAGTCTCTGGCGATGGAGAGAGAGCTATCATTTCTGCGATAATTCTGGTGATGTAATCCAGGAATTGCATGCTGGGAAAGCTGCTTTCCTAATTTCCTTTCCTCCAGGGCGCCTGCCTTGCTCTGCTAACCCAGATTTTATCTGCTCCTGTTCATAAGCTTTCCCTTGTGAGCTGAGGTTCTGGTGGGCCTTTGTGACTCAGGTCTGGCTCCTCCTTGTCTTTCCCAATTCAGCCTGTGCCAGCCCTGAGCATTTGAGGTTCCCATAGCAACCAGTAGTGTTAGCACATATTAATAACTAGAGTGGCCTTTGAGTTGGCACGGCAACTGAGCCAGAATAGATGTGGGGAAGACATTGCCAAATTATGTGCAAGATCTTAGAAGAAATGGGACCATCTCTGTTTGACCTGCAGTCTGGTAGAAATGATTACAGTCTTGCCCCTTAAAAAAAATTACTATAATTCTGTGTTTTTCCCCTTCCTCCAAAGAATGCAATAGTGATGTAGGTAGCTATCCCTCTATCTTCGATCAAGGCAGCATCTAGTCAAACCCATATTTGTTTACCTTCAGCACCTCCAGTCTATTCATCTTGTATTTTTATCCATATATGAAACCTATAAGGAAGTGAAGCTTCAGGATACTTCAAAAGGGAAGATTTTTTTGTTCCTCCTTGAATTTTAAATGATACTGCCCTATTCATTTGATCCCCAGGTTATATAATCAGATGATAAGAAATGAATTTAATGGTGTTTGTGCGCATGCATAAACTACAACTGGTTGGTACTATTTGTTGCAGCCAGTAAATGATAACATTTGAGAATGGTAGCGGCTAGGATGGACCTGCTAGGGAATACATGACCAAACATTTTGAACAGTGAAGTCGATGGAGTAAAATAGAAATGGACATCCTTCAGAATCTTGGTTTTTTAGAGATCTCTTTTTCTTTGAAATACAGCCAAGAGCTATATATGAGTGAGAAAGTGTATATTCATGACGTCTGTATGTTTTTAATTAAGAGACTGACAAATATTTGTTGCTATAGGAAGAGTTCCGAGTGGAGAGAGGTCTCCAGTTGCTGGCACTGATGGAGGATGCCTTCTCCAGATACAACAATGGATTGCAGGGGCAATGGTTGATCTCCTTAAGCAAACCTAATGAGAATGACAAACATCTGTTGATGACTCTGGCAGGAGAACATGGTAAGATTTTGGTGAAAAATAAAGGGTGTCTGACCCGTATTGTGATTACTCCCATCTCTTCCCTGTACGTGTTCCTCTCATTCTGTTTTGGTTAAGTTCTGTGGCCACATCTAATTGGACATCATTTCAACAGGATAATACTACAGGTAGTCCTTGTTTAATGACCGTTCATTCAGTGACCATTCAAAATTACAACGGTGCTGAAAAAATGGACTTATGATCCATGCCCAAAGATACCACCGTTGCAGCATCCCTGCAGTCACATGATCAAAATTTGGGTGCTTGGCAGCCCGCCCACACTTATGACCACAGGGGTGCTACAACTCTTCCCACCTGCCTATCTCCCCCCCCCCCATTTATGCCCTTTTGGCCGCCCTGCACAGCAGCACTCAGAGGCAATGCCAGGGCTGGAGCTGAAGTAGAGGCCCA